TTTAAAAAAAAAAAAAAAAGAATGTAAATGTTTATACTTTTGATAACAGACTATGAATGAACTGTGTAGTGGCTCATAAAATAGGGTACAGTTCTTAAGTATCCATGTGTTTGAAGCCTTTTTATTTTTTATTTTATTTTTTTTTACACACTGACCCGCTGCAGGCGGTGTTTTTTTTCTAAACCAGAGATACGTCAGATATTTGCATGTGTGTGTGGCCTCCAGCAGCTTGTGTTCGGTTATCGCAGTGAGTTTGTGTGTGTTTCCTCTCCCAGGTGAAGAAAGACGCGGAGAAGAAAGACCAGATGAAAGCTGACCTCACAGCTCTCTTCCTTCCCAGGCAGCCAGCCATGCCCCTGACGGAGGTAGGGGCACGCTTATTCTTTTCCTTCACTCTTGCTAAAAACAGACAAGACAAAATATTTTTTTTATACTTTTAGCATCCTCTTCTTATGTACGTATTTTCTGTCTAGGCTGAACAACTCACGGAGGAGTGGAACGAGGACCTGGACGGCATGGAAGGATTTGTGTTGGAGGGAAAGAAGTTTGCCCGCCTGCCTGAGGAGGAGTTCGGACACTTCCACACGCAGGACTGCTACGTCTTCCTCTGCAGGTAGGTAGTGTGTGTGACTGTCTATGCCGCTTAAACTGTTCATAATTTAAAATTAAAACATTATTAAAAAGCCTTTTTTTTTTTTTCCACAAATTGTAGTTTATGGGACTGTACCTTGGTTCAGTTTTTTTTTTACATTTATAAAAAAAAAAAAGAAAAGAAAGAAGAAGAGGAAATTGCATACAAACACAGACGTGGCTCCACAGGCTCGACACTGTTCTGTTGAAAGTGAGTCACTGTCTTACTCTAATCTCTCTGCTCTCATAGATACTGGGTGCCTGTGGAATACGAAGACGAGGAGAAAGAGAAGAAGGAAGGCGGCGGCGGTGGTGAAGGAGGAAAAGCAGGAAAAGCAGAGGATGAGGAGGACAAACAGCCCGAGGAGGACTTCCAGTGTGTAGTGTACTTCTGGCAGGGCAGGCAGGCCTCCAACATGGGCTGGCTCACTTTCACCTTCTCCCTGCAGAAGAAGTTTGAGAGTCTTTTCCCTGGAAAACTGAAGGTATCTGGATCCATCTGAACGCATTCTTTCACACTCTTTCATAAAATGCTTCTGTGCTCGTCATATGTACGTCACATTATAAGTCTGACCACTTCTGCCTGTGGTTTTCACAGTATTGTGCTGAATTGACAACCCTAGCTTCTCTTGCTGTTTAGGTGGTGCGTATGACCCAGCAGCAGGAGAACCTCAAGTTCCTGTCCCACTTCAAGAGGAAGTTCATCATCCACAAAGGGAAGAGGAAACAGAAGACTGACGCGGCTCAGCCCTCCCTCTACCACATACGCACCAATGGCAGCGCACTTTGCACCAGGTACACACAGTGCTATTACCACCTATTATTGAACAGCAGCACTGTCACGAGCACTGCTTACTGTCCTCCAGAGATATTTTCATAGATGAAGTCTTTTAAGCAATTTGTTTCTACATTTCTTCTCTCTCTCTCTCAGGACTATCCAGATTGGAACAGATTCCAGCAATCTTAACTCGGAGTTTTGCTTCATCCTCAAGGTTGTGATTTGTTTTTTTATCACACAGTAATAATAATATAACAATAATTTGAATGAACTCCCAGCAGAGATTTCTCCCCTGTGTCTCCTCCTTCTTTTGTACTATTTAAGTAAAGACCAGAAAGTCTTCTCCGTGGTTTGTGGGTAACGGTGTATGTTCCCTGCAGGTACCATTTGAGAGCACAGACAATCAGGGCATTGTTTACACCTGGGTGGGCCGAGCTGCCGACCCTGATGAAGCCAAACTGGCTGAGGACATTATGAACTGCATGTTCGATGACACGTACAGCAAACAGGTAAATGTGTACACGTATATGTGTGAGCACGTATGTAAGCCTTGAGTAGGAAGGTAATATTCCTACGTTCATGTATATAAATGCCTTGTCATCCTCATTCTGTGAGGAACTGACGAAATACTCAGCAAATACTCTCAAGTATAAATTCCCCACACCATCTCTGTCGCTTCCACTTCACTCCTTTCATCGCTGCACATAAACTGAACTGAGAATCATAATGCGGTAGTCCCTTAACCCTTCAGCTGCCAAAGCAACCGCTTTCAGCACTTATATGTCAGCTGAAGGTTTCACAGCTTTCATCCCTTCTTAATTACACTTCAGCTGACACTCGTGGCACCATTTATTACACTTTCAGTTCCTCTTCTTCAATCTCAAGTGAATCATCAAATTCTCTCAGCACTTTCACATCAGCTGATACTTCACTCAACTTTACTCAGCACTTACAGTGTTTACATTTAAACTGAAACTTTGCACTGCCACTTGAACTTCTTTTAATATTTCCACTATTTTAAATGTGATAAACTTTTAGCTGCAAGCAAACTTAAATATTCTTCTGAAAATGTAGACCCTTTAGTCTAAACTTAGTCTTCAGTGCGAGTATTTGCACTGATGAAGGGAGACAGTAAAGGCTGAAGACAGATACTTGAGCTTCAGTTGTTTTTGTAATGTCTGTTTAGTGTATTTTGTCGAACTAATTGTCGATGATAAATTGATCATTTGTCTTCTAGGTCATTAATGAGGGGGAGGAGCCTGAGAACTTCTTCTGGGTTGGGATTGGGTCTCAGAAGCAGTACGATGAAGATGCAGATTATATGAAACACGCTCGGCTCTTCAGGTGAGTCAGCGTTATCCGTCTTACGTGTAGTTGTTATTTAGAAGTTGTTATTTTGAGTGTAGTGAGTAACACTATCTGCTTCTTTCTCTTTCCTATCTCTCCAATGGCTGTCCTTTCCATCCCTCCCTCAGGTGTTCGAATGAGAAGGGTTATTTCTCTGTGTCGGAGAAGTGCTCGGACTTCTGTCAGGACGACTTGGCCGATGACGACATCATGTTGCTGGACAACGGCAAAGAGGTAGCAACTGATCACGATGACAGCTTTGCTTTAATGTCTGCAGTTAGAATTCATCAGTTAATTTATTACTGTGCAATTGTTTTTCATTCTTTTCTTTGTGTCTCTGCCGTGTTTTCCCTCAGGTGTACATGTGGGTCGGCACTCAGACCAGCCAGGTGGAGATCAAACTCAGTCTCAAAGCCTGCCAGGTTAGTGAGGAAGTGCCATTTGTGTGTGTGTGTGTGTGTCTGTGCATTTCCATCTGCTGTTTTTGTGTGTGTTTGTGGTCAAACATTTTGGTGTTCTATACCCACATCTTATTAATCCCTCTCCAGGTTTACATCCAGCACATGCGCTCTAAGGATGCTGAACACCCCCGGAAGCTGCGACTGGTGCGGAAGGGAAACGAGCCCCACTGCTTCACGCGCTGCTTCCACGCCTGGGGAGCTTTCAAAACTACTCTCGCATAGACCAACACGCACATACACGCTCACAAATACATGCGATGCATTCGCTGCCATGTAATTTTCTACCAGTAAGATGATTATGATGATGTCTATGCCTAACACAGCTTTACCTGAGCTCCCCCCCCTCGCTCCAATCCCTTCGCTCCATCCTGCTCGGCGCTGCTGCCCAACAGCCTCCTGATCAGCCTGTTTCTGTCAGTCAGCCTACAGAAACGGAACGAATCTGGACAGATTTGAGTTTAGCACAACATCTCAATCAGTGAACGCTCTTCTGGTCATGAAGCTGTTGGTTTTTTCCTGTCTATGGGACAAACCGCAAAATATCACTTTTTTTCTACAAGCTTTTTTTAGCAGCCAGTCTGAATACTATTGTTAAATGAAAGAAGAGAATTATGTTTTGAGATAAAAATAAAAATAGTTCTACGGTGTACAGAGGCTTTATAAAAACCCAAAGGGAGGTCAATCCCTTAACATATCGATCTGTTTTGCTGCTTTCACGTGGCTTGTGCTGCATGGTTAGTAGTTTTCAATGGAGGATGGTGAAGTGCTCGTTACTACAGGAGGCACTCCTCTGCGGTTAGTGCCATTTTGCGCAGCTCATTTGGAGCAGTTTAAGGCAGATAAAAGTTAGATTTTACAGTTTGTAATTTTTTTTTTTTTTTTCATTATTGAGGGATTGAGCAGAAAATGGCACTATAATTGTTTTTCTGAGGAATGTCGGTTTATACGTATATTTTTCTGTTTGTGCAGATTATACATGGTATGTTTGTGTGTGCCCCATACGCCTTCATTGACACGGGGACTGGCCCTTTCCCACGGTCAGTCTGCTCGCTGTTCTCACCTCCTGTAACTTGTCCACCGATCGGAATGCAAAGCGAAACCTTTTTGTAAGTGATCTGTTTCAATCTACTAAATATGACTTTCATGTAAAGATGCTTTGGACAGGAATTTGCTTCGCCATATGAAAGTTTCAACAGTTAAATCTATTTGGCCAAAGAAATGTTGAGCGGAGGTCCGGACTAAGTTCGGGACTGTGAGACAGAGACTTGTTTTATGTTTAAGGACAGAGGTTTTAAATGTGCAATCAGTAGAGCCCGGCAGATACTGAAATGAAATAATACTGTAATTCTTCTACGTTACAGACCGCATTCAACTAGTCAAAATGTTTATTTTCTTCCTTTTCTGGAGTAGAGTTTCTTTCCAAAATTTAGTGTCATCTTTGAAAAAGTAAATGCATGATGTTTAAAATTCAGTACAGTTTAGACATTTTAAAGTGGTTTTTCTTTTTCAAATGTTTCTCTCTTGGAACAAAACTCTTCATTTGCAGACTTTAGTGGGAGATCTTTTGCGCCGTATGAGAGATGTATCTTACAATAAATGTAGTAGCCGAGCTGGTTCCACTGATCTCAGTTTGTTTGTATGGTTAACAGATGAGTTACGATCAGTTAACCAGTTCCTGATCAGTGCCTCCAGGGTCAATGTTTTACAGAACTGCTGCAGTGCTTCTTGTGATCACGTGACTTTAGTAATATGCAGGCATTGATCCAAGAAAGATATCTCTGTATTCTCAAATGGCTGCAACTATCATTTTGTTTCTTTACACCATATTTTGTGGGGTGAACTGTATGCCTGGTAGTGTGTTTGAGTCCTACACGCATATGTATGTGGGTATATGAATATGTGCACATGCTCCTGAAGCCACCTGCAGATGCTTTATTTATGTATTTTATATAAAAATAAAATCACACATCACATTATGTCATCTGGTCTCCTTTTTTCCACTGTTATGTCAGTTTATATTTATTTTAAGACCCTGCACACATATGGAGGTGTTCTGGGTGGAACTATGCTGGGAATTTGCTGTATGTTCTCTAACAGGAAAAACAACTGGAGTCAGTGAGAGTCTGTGCACTCACCGCTGAGGGCAAATCAGCCAACATGATGAAAAAACACTTGTGTGAAGAGCAGGGATTTTCCTGCATCTTAAATTAGATTTTTTTTTAATTTAAAGTCTTAAATCATTTTACAGGTGGATGTTACCATTTCTTGGCTGGGACCAGTAACTTCTGTCTCTGCAGGTTGCCTGGCAACTGTCCCAGCCAGGAAATAGTACAGCACATAAACATCCAGTGGAACAGCAAAAAATGTTTTTACAATTCAAACTGAACAAAATATAAAATGGTAATTAATGAGCTTTTGAAGTACTGGTAAGCGGGTTTTGTTACTTTCAGAATGAGCCAGTTTCCAGTCTTTATGTTAAGCTAAGCTAACTGGCTGCAGCCTGTAGCTACCATACAGGCATGCTGTCCTTTAAATATACATCATTTTTTTTAGCAAGGAAAAGAGTACGCACACTTCCAAAGTTGTTTAACCACCACCAATGTTACACATCAGTGTTCACAGATCCTGTAGACTATTTCTAATGCAAAAAAGTTGCATAACGGCTCTGTGGCTCCAGAGGCAGCTGCTTTGTTAAACTGCCTTAAGTGATGTCACTTGAGTCAATGAAAATAAAAGAAATCTGGAGGTGCGAAGAAAGACAGTTGTGCTGCTTTTGTTCTTTACTGTCCGTTGTGAGTCCAACAATGCTATTGGAGTAAAATGCTAAATTAGCAAAGTGCTCTGCACTTTACATCCAAACCACACAGCAGACGAGTCCCATAGAGAGTAAATAATTTTATTAACATTCACAATTCTTCATCAGCCAAAATGCTAAATGGCCTGATTAAAATCCTACTCACAAAACTGAATGACAAAGTAGAAACAAATTCATTTTAATTGAGGAATTAAAAAGGTAAATTGTGCCAGCTGTAGCATCAAAGTGTTAATTATTTGTGTGTCAACCAGAGCACCAAAAAAAAGCTAAGACAAAAGTAAAAAAGCATTAACATGACTCCTACCTGTCGAGCTACATTAGTTAATAGTGAGGTCCCTTTTTTACTTTTTATTTAGTTTTACGTGAGGTGATTGAAAAGCTTGAATACTGAGCGGTTTTTAGGCTACAACCAGTTCTAGCTCTAACATTTTATTCTATCATCGGCTTGCTGTTAGAAACCTGTCTTCTGTAAACCTAGGTATAGATACTGTATATATTTTTTGTTTTTACACAGTAAAACTTTTTTTTTTTTAAAAAGGGTTAAAAATACTGGTGATCAAACCTCTGCATCAAGCCAATATTACCCAGAATGCACCGATTCACAGAAACCCCCCCCCAAAAAAAGACATCTCCTGGGTGCATCATAGTACACAGTACATAACACTTTAGCATTCAGACTGACTTTGCTTCCCTTGCCACACACTTCCCTGAGTCCCGTCAAAAAGAGATTTCTGCATGAGATGATGTAACATCAACAGAGGAGGGAGGAGAAATTCAACTGAAGACTCTTTTTGCCGCATCCTTCATCCACTTTTTTATTTTTTTAACTACCAAGAACTTTTTTTAAATTTTCATCAGTCCCAATTTGACCAAACTAGGGCAGAAAATGAGGATTAAAAACAAACTTTATTGTTTCACTGCTGACAGATGTTTCACTGACGTCACAGAATAAAAGGCTGCTTAAAGAATTCACTGCAGATGTGTCGTACCGGTGTACCTCCGTATTACACTGCCCAGATGTCGCGGCCCACCCTCCCCACGTGACTCATGGCCCAGTTTGCACTTGCCTGATAAAAACACAAATAAGAGATAAAGAATGTATTTGTCCAACGTCATGCATTTAGCAATAAAGGTAATTCAAAAAGTGTCAAAAATATTATTTCACCTAAATCTTCTCTAGTCCTAAATATACAGAACCACCTTCCCTTCCCTCTTCACCAGCTGGTTCCCTTTGAAATTGGTGTTTATTCTCTCCTCTCGCGTCCCCCGTTCTAGTTCTCATTAAAATACCTTTACTTTCTCCAAAAGCCGTACAAAACATATTTAATAAAGCATCAATCTTTGCAATATAAACCACCTTCATTAACCCCGGCACTCTTTTTCTTCAACACCGAGAGAGTAGACAGAGAGCTTCCTTCCTTCAACCTTGGCGGTGATGTGCTTGTGTGTAGTAACATACTGGCTCTCTGATTTGAAAACAGTTGATTAATGCACCGCCTCACACAGGACACTGGGCGAGGCAATTCAACTGCCCTTAATGGCACATAATAGGGGAAGAATACAAATGCTACAGCTTTTAATACACAAATACTCAAAATACTTCATTTGCTAGTCTTGCTCTCTAAAAACGCTCGGTCTCTGCTGAACATCCTCAGTTCATAAGCGCGGGTCATTCGCAGGGCTGTTGTGGTGTTAGGCAGCGTGCAGAACAATCCAACACATCCACTAGTGTGCACGAGGAATCAACAAGGATATTCGGCGACTGCCAATTCCAGTTCCAACTGTGGGTGGGGGGGGGGGGGGGCCTCAGACCGATTCTAGCACGCCACAAAGACTGTGGATAGAAATATAAAAACACAGAAACATCACCGGTAAGTCTCCTATGCAGAATGTAACAGCCCTTTGCTCCAAAAGGCTGAGCCACAGTCACATCCCATGACCGTCACGTCACCGGGGGAAAGGGCCAAGGAGGAATGATCGCACAGAGAAAGTCAAGATGGATGAAGGAAATTCCAGTTTTCAGTTCTTGAAATCAGAATAATCTGGTCCAAATCCATCCACGCCCGGCAAGGTAGAGGCTGTCTGCGTGCCCATGTCGGAGGCAATGTCATGTTTCCAAAGTGGTTACAGAAGAAGATTTAGTTCTTCCAATGAGGAGGAACCACAACAAGGGTCTTTCATGCTGTATTCTTTGTCCGTATTAAGGCTTTCCTCCCAGCTGGTGCCAGGCTAACAGGAGAGAGTAGAGTGCTGGCTGGGGGCTCCACAGTAGGCTGATGGGAGATGTTTGTGGTCCAGCACTGAAATCCGGTCCATCCAGACCACTTGAGCCCCTCCCTGTAATACTTCAACAACAATTTGTGGACAGCATGAGCAAAAAAACACCACTTTCACAACAAGACATACAAGAGTAGTGACCGAGAGCAGCACAATATAACTGACAGCAGATAGAAAGGTGCAATTTCAATTTCAACTTCTGACCTTCATGTCTCTGTGACACAGTGCAAAACAACTTCAGTTACATCATTCACTGAGTTTAAAAGTAGATTTAACACATTAAATAATTATCATCTACTGGCAAATACTATATCAGTTGTAATTTACTGCAACCATTAGTCAGTTAATCAATCAACAGAAGATTAATGCAACTGGCATTTTAATAGTTAGGTAATTAAGTCATTTATCAAAGAAAATGTTCTACTTTTATATAAAGGTAAACTGAATATCGGAGTTTGGGAATTTTTGTTTTTTTGCTGTACATTTTCACATTTTATAGAAAAGATGAAGAGATTACTTCCTGTTCTAATTAACATATATAACAAAATATAAATGTCTTAAACTGTATATATATCATTAATAAATACAAGGTAATCTTTTATAAAAGAATATTAGTATTAGTATAAAGTAAGTGCAGAATGTGTATTAAAGTGTATTATCTATATTTTCAGGTGGCACCACCAGGGGGTAGCAGAGAGTTTAAAAATGAAGGAGGGTCCTGTTGACAAACATTACCTCCTGATTTATGACTCCTGTGAATGCAGACAGTAATGCAACCGAATGGATGAGTGCACTTAGTGCAGAGTACGCAGCAACCACAAACTCTTTGCTTCATACCGAGTAAAGCTCCCACATTTCACTACATTTAATGATTGATACTTTTTGGTTTTGGTCATTGCACAACAACGTTCCAGCTGTGATCTTCTTGCTTTTGCCAAATCCAGTAGCTCCCCTTCTCTTTTCTCTAATAAATATTTTATTTTAAAAAAGAACACATGGGCACATGAGCTGGTAACAGCTGTATAAAAGCTGTGATCTGTATGGAGCAGTAAAGGTTAAGACTAGGCCATTATTGGATCGCAAAACCGTAGAAGATAATGTCACCTGTTCTACTGCAGGGTTGTAAAAAACAAACAAAAGAAAGAAAAAGAATAAAATAAGACTTGACTGTGGAGAATATAAACAGTACAGTGAATTAAGAGGCTACATAAATTAACCCTGGGCCATTTCCAAGTACAGTATAAAGAAAGTAGAGGGAAAAAATATCCTGAGCTACAGTATATGACACACTGTGAAGAAGCTTACGTCTGTTTAATTGGCCTCAATGGAAGAGATTGCTGCTCTGCTGGCTTTTCAAAGACCGAGTGGAGGGGAAAGAGAGCGGAGGGCTCGTTACTGGAATGCAGCATTAAGACAGAACAACTCTTTGAAGTTTGCACACTCTGGACGGGCTCCATTAGAAACAGGTGTCTGGCTGTGTGTGTGTGTGTCTATCCGTTCTCCAGTGTTGTGTTTAAGCGAGTGTGAGCTCATGCATCTGCTCATACTGGAGTGTTTGTCTGACATCAGGGAGGAATATGCATTAAAGCGAGTGTAACAAGTGTTTGTGTGTATATTCCTCACCTGTTCAGTTAATGAGGATGCCAGTCGAGCGTCCCTCCTCCTCTTTAATGTTCTTTAGGTTATTCTCTGCCTCGTCGACGGTGCTGCACGGCACATACACACACCACAAGTTAATTCTTGTCTTGAAAGGCCGAGTACATTTTAAACAATGCAAGCTGTGTGTATGTGTGCATAGAAAAGTGTATGCCTACGTTAGAAAATCCCTGACATCCTCCACAGTGATTTCTCCGGTGGAGTCGAGGGTGAGGTCGGCGCAGCTGAGGGGGGAGTCCAGCGGGGTGTCCAGGATTGGAGAGGACAGGGCGCTCGGAGGCTCTTCTGTTTGCCCTGTGGGGGAGAAACCCACAGAGTCAGGGGCTGCAGCATGATTCTGCAGGGACTAACTGAATCTGAAAAGCTTTCCAGTAATGTGGGACTGAGTGAATAAAACTTTGGCAAGCAGTTTCAAAACACAGCTTCATCACAATTTGGTTAGACAGAGGATTCAATGAAACCAGCTGTCATATGTTTGATATCCCTACAATGCAATTGTAATAAAGATGAACAAAAACAGAGAGTGCAACAGCATTTGGAGAACAAATGAAGGTGGCTAAAGTGAGTGTATTTTGATTCAAAATCAATGATAATGTTGATTTGTGTTTGCTGTATGTGTACAGTAAATGGGCAACTGTTTGCCAACAATACAGTATATAGAACATAAGCTGATAATATATCAGTGTTATATTTACAGCGTGTTGTGCTGCACCCTAGTGCTCCAATTTAGCCCTGCACTCCTATAACACTGTCAGATTCATGATGGACTAAAAACAGGAGAGAGATAGTCGACTTTTGTTTATCCATGCATCGGCTCCTTTACAAGCAGCACCCTGCCAATACCCGAGTGGGCTACAGAGGTGTGGTAAACGTTCATTCTTTGTCACGAGCAGATAAACAAACCCTACTCTGGTCTCCACAACAACCCTCCTTTTCTGACAGGGAAGGAGGTGCTGGGCAGGAGAGGCAACTGGGGCATGCTCAATGGTTACCATGGAGACCCGAGGGGAACCCCTGCAAGGAGGCCTGCTCACGGTTTTAAGAGGTTCAGAGAGAGAAGAGTGTGATGAAGAGGGACAATAGACAGGGGGAAAGAAATAAAAAGTGAGGGGGAGGAGGAGGGAGGCAAAAAGAAAACCTGTGTGTGTGTGTGTTGTGTGTGTGTGTGTGTACCTACCCTCAGCCTGACCCATCTGGTTCTTGTGGGTTCCGTTGGCCTGCGGCTGCGTCGGCGTGCCATCGCTGAGGAGACAGATGAGCACACACCATTTGGTTTGGCAGTTGATGGAGTAATAATAAAGCAATAACAGTAAAAGTATCATTTCTTTGGTTTCACATGCAGCCGAGTGCCTCGAGCTGGTGGAAACCCAAGAGACAGCATTACGAACAGAAAGTGGTTTGTAGTGGTTTCCAGTGTGGGGTCCAGGGACCACCAAGAGTCCTTAAAAGGCTTATTGTGGTTTCCTGGAAAATGTTGAAAACATCTTCCAGGAAAACATCAATGAGCAGGTATGGCTTCAGGCAAAATGTGATTTTTGCATAAACGTGATGAAATACATTGATTTGTCAGGTATTTGATTTGCTGGATTACCAACAACAGATTTCCTTCTGACTGTATAATCAATTTAAGGTCATATTACAATATACTACATTGAGATTTCATAATATTACATATGTTGAGAAAGAGGATTCTATTTTTTATGTTATGTAAGTCAGTAGTAGTAGGTTTTGTAGGATCAAGTTTTGCCAAACAGGATCTGCTGATGTGTGTGTGTGTGTGTGTGTGTGATGTGTGTCTCAGTGGCCGTGTTTTACCTGGCAGGTGTGGGCTCTAGTGGTCGGTCCAGCTGAACAGAGCAGAGCGGTTCAGTGAGGACCTTGGCAGACAGGGAGAACCTCTCGTACTCAGAGGGAGAGATCAGGTAAAAACCTGTGTGGAAAAACAAAAAGACGACCATTAGACAGTTACAGCTTTGAGCTCATTCAGAACAATTTTCTACTGTAAAAAAAAAAGAAAAAAAGAAGTGGGTTGTTTATTATTTCTCGTAGTAGTTTATTTATTTCTGGAAAGACGGGCTAATGGCAGAAGTCTCAACAGCAGATATCTCAGAGCCACGGCTAAAAAGACCTTAACTATCTGCATGACTGGATACCAATGGGGCAAGTGGAAAATATTTTTTGTTTGATCTGCGTTAAATGACCCTTTACCCTCACCCAGCCCGCCCTGCTCTGCCTTGTTGTGACTTTCAGTGCCTGACTTGGAGTGTTTTCCTCACCCTGTCCGTTCTTGGTAAAGACGCAGGAAGCAATGCCACTGATGTCTTCTTTACGGATGCAGTCGTAGCGCACCTATAGACATAAATTACCAATACATCAATCCAATTAAAAAAATTCAAACCCCACATTTTCTTATTGCCAGTTTTAAAACCCCCTTACACACACTCACACTCACACTCACACTCCAAATTAGACTTTTAATACACACATGCACGCAATCCCCCCCTACCTGAGGTCGAAGGGCAGGTATGTTAAAGAGGTGCATGTCGCCCAGGTTGGTCAGACAGACCAGTGTGTGTTCGCTGTAGTCTTCCTGAGCTGTGGAGCTGAAGATCACCAGGGCCACCTTCCTCACCCGACAGCCTTCGTGCGCCGTCAGCTTGAACTTGGTCTTGGCGCTCACCTTGGGGAGAGAGAACACCTGGACAAGAGGAGAGTGGATTTAAAACGGTAACCAAGTCCTCGACAGTCTCTCGAGCCCCGGCTCAACCTTTTATGGTGACTTTTAAATGATGTGATTCAAAATAAACTGAACAAAGCCTTTACCTTCAGCTGTTCCTCTGAGGCGATGAGGACAGAGTGAGCGTTGGTCATATCCGGCGCGATGGCGAGGTCCTGGGAGGCTTCATAGGGGTCGGGTAACGGCTTCCCCCGGCCATCCAACACAGAGATTGACACAACGGGGGCCCTGTGCATCAGCTGGATCTCTTTACCCAACACAGCCTCCACACACACACTGCTTTCGCCCGCTCCGCCGCGCTCGCACACACGCCCCGAGCCCACGCCAGGCACCTCCAGAGCATAGGCGTACACACTCCCCGAGTTGGTGCCCGCCCATAGCGTGGGGCCGTGATGTGTACCTGAGGGATACAGAATACAGCACATAGTGTTAGCGTTTGTTTGATGGAAATGTTCCACATTCATTTCATAATCTTAACAAGTAAGTAAACGCACCGTCACGTAGAAAGGTGTCAGCGAAGCAGAGACAGCGGACAACTCCAGACAGCGAGTCGTCTGCTGACCGGGGTTCAATCCTTCGCTGCACCGGAGCCACATCCTCCTGCTCCGCTAGAGCAGCGTTAGCCTCCTGGACCTGCACATAACACAGTCCCAAAATGCACAACTTAATTTGACGTCGAGGCAAGAGCCACGGTCTGTTCGAGGTTTCTGCCTCTTAAAAGGACGTTTTTCCTTGCCGCCGTCGCCAAGTGCTGGTTCATGGTGGGAACTGTTGGGTCTCTGTAAATAATTTTATAAGGAGTACTGTCCAGACCTGCTTTATTTGAAAAGTGTCCTGAGATCACTTTTGTTATGAGTTTGTGCTGTACAAATAAAACTGAATTGAATTGAATTGCTTTGAAGAAAAATACCATCATAAAAAATGAGGAAAAGCTGATTTTGTTATGGCCCTCAAGCATTTCCTTCAGGATCAAGTACTGTACATATATAAAAGTATATTGTATGAAGTAAATAGAAATATGCTCTCTAAACACATTTCCTCTAATTTATAGTTTGAAGCTCACACAGATAAAATCTGTAAGAGCTCAAACTTTGACACAGCGCAAGATCAAATGAGTTGATCATGTTATTTATTTTACTATTGTCTATAGCAAACCAGCTTGACCCCTGTATGCTGTGTAGTTTACATATTTTCTCCTGTTCCAATGTTGTTCAGTACAACAAAATTAATACTATAATAATTAAAAGAAATAACGAGTCATAGTTATCCTGAGTAAGCTCATTTATTATGTTATACATGGTTACACACAGGTGATGTAAACTCTTGTCAACTGTTAAGACAAAAACTACCACATTATTTTTGAAAAATGCACAACTATCAGCTAGTTTACATTCATTTACCAGGCAAAAAAAGAAATCACACTTTAAAGAAGGATTTAAAGAGACAAAAAAAATCACATTAAAAGGAACTAAGAAAATATCACAGCACTCATAGCAGTTCACATTAATCCAAAAGGGAAAACGCTTTAGGTAAAGTGCAAAAGGAAAATTATTTTATTTGACACAACAAAGCATGCAAATATTAAAAATCAAACAGTGACACAGTTTGCAAATATTTTGTGTCATTAAAGTTTTGAGGATTTCACGGAAGTCAGCAGCAGTAAGATTTTTACTTAATATTCTCTTTCCATGGACTGAGGTCAAAAGCACGGATGTTCTTACAACTAGTGTAACGGGACTTGGTCTGGTACTGGAAGGGCCTGTCTGGTACCTGAGTGATACCAGTGTTGTCACAGATGATGCGGGACAGTGACGTCTGCTTCAGGGACTCCTTCTGGGCCTCAGTGAAGACTCCTTCATTTTCCCACCAAAGTCTGAAATTGACAGTTTGTTAATGTTTAAAAGTGCAGCTACCACAACTATCTACACATATTTAGTAAATATCCGGTATGTTTAATTTCAGGCCTGTCTGCTTACCGGTCTCCTTGGCGGATCTTCTGGAACTGGGTGGCAATCAGGCAGCCAAACAGGGGTCCCACTCTTCCTCCACGGACAAACGGCTCGGCCACTCCTCCCAGCCACACATCAATGTTGTCAGGTGTGCCGTAGAAATCCAGCAGCTTCTTGGCAAGGTCTTTATTTTTCAGTACTTCAGCCAGCTGTGCCTGGTTTTGTGGTTGTGACAACCCACAGAACTCGCGCCATTTGTTGTAGCCTAAAAAGGGGCACATGGTTTGAAAATGTTTCAGCATTCAAGATAACGTATGATCTGTAACGTCTGAAAAGGCAACATTTGAGAGATACAAGACAGAAAATAAATGGAAAGACTAAATCAGAGTAATACCAGGGAGTCCATGGTCTCTTCCTCTCTGCATGTTGAGAGCTGCCAGATCCAACGCCAACTCAGAGGAG